TTCTCTTTCCCAGTCTTCAGGGCCAGAATACGTCTTGGACATAAACACACACACACACACACACACACACACACACAGACAAGAGGAAAGAGGTTAACTTATGAATTGGCATTTTAAATTAATTTGTGGTACTGTGGTACAAGTAACATCATCATACATGACAATGTAAAGTGCTTTGAGTGCCTAGAAAAGCGCTATATAAATGTAATGAAGTAATGAATTTATTATTACCCCTTTTGGCAGGTTGAAGCACCATTTGTTTGTGCAGCTACACGAACGTGAACAAATCAGGCTTCAGTATCAGGGTAAACAGGAGTTTACCCCATAAACGTACAACGCAATAGGAGAGACCATTCGAAAGAGAACTAAATTAGTCCAACTCAAAACAGATCTCAAACACAGATGTGACGTTACACTTTAATTGTAACTTTAACAAAATTAATCATCCCATATGCATTCCTTATAGCCAAATTAAATGCTCTATGTTAATTAGGTTATAATGAATTCAAGGCTATCATTTTGCATCAATGAAAAGAACATCCAATAAAAACGTAGACTGCGGCAAATCAATCATTCATTCGGAATACAGAATGGTCATGACATGTGACATGGAAACGCACACTGCTAAATGAGAATATCAGTAAGTTCACACACCACTTCATTAATAGCAAATTGATTATCTGTTGCTAAGCTGGTGGGGTATCTGACCTTTCATTGTGCATGCATCAGCAACATGGAGGGGAAAGTAGCCTACTATCACTGGTTCAGTGCAGATGCAGTTTTCAGCAAGCCAGTATTTAGTGTTACAGTTTCAAAGAGCAACTGCTTAGATCATAGGCAGCATTGTTTTCGCATATATTGCATACAATGTAGGACTAGAGTAAAAAAAAAGCTCTACGATTTCTACTTTTTTTCTGAGCTTTGCTCCTTTAGTGTTTATTGTGTTTAAATGCTGCAGTATTCCCAGTATTCTTCAGAAATATGTAAAGAACATTTCTGTAGCCCTACAGCATGGCACTAACAATGCAAAGGTCATGGGTTTGATTACCAGAGAAAGCAAGAACTGATAAGTAAGGGATAACGTACATACAGCCGGTTGTTATCACAGAATAACCACCGCCAGGGTGATCAGGACCCCGAAGCAAAGTGGATCAAAAAATCAAATATTGATTTGAGATTAAATATTTGAACGCACTGCTTCCGTGAGGAAAGCAATTGCTAGCAAGCGGGAAGTTCAAACTAGATGGACATTTAAGGGATACAGTGCAGTCATACCACTTATTACACAGCATTTCACCAAATAATAATGGCGACAAAAGATATTGATTTAAGACGAAAATGTTTTAAAATCTTGCCAGTATGTTAGTTATCTTAGGGCACTTTCACACTAGCAAGTTTGGTGCACACCCGGGTTTGATTTTGACATCAGAGTTTGGTAAGTTTGGCTAGTGTGAAAGCTGTCATGCGAACACGAGTGCACACCGGGGTAACAAACCCAAACCTACCTGAAGGAGGTGGTCTGAGTTCGATTGCACTCGAACTGTGGCACGGTTCGCGTAAATATGAAAGCAACACGGACTCGGGTGCGCACTTGTTCAGGAAGTAAATTAACCTGCGTATGCGTTTTAGCAGATTACAATGTATTTTCTTCAATAAAACACATATAAGTGCTGAGAGTGTTGCTGATTTACCTTGGATTCGAGCGAGAGTGAGCCTGCAGTGTATTTGCATGTAGCAACTGCAATCAGAGTGGCAAATGAATGGTAATTGGTTGTCTCCTCAAAACAGCCATTTACATGCGACTCACATACAGTAAACCCATATGTCATTTACTCTGCGGCGCATAATAGCACCAAATTAATTAAAAAAACATAATATAATGACCCACGTTCTGTTTTCTATCATACGTTGTGCACGTTCATGATGACGTTAAATGACCACAAATGCACCGGGGTTCGATAGAATCAAGAGAGTATGAAACCAGACCAACGCTGCGGAGGGTGCCGGTGTTACAGTTTCACTGGTGACCGTGTTATCTGGTGACCTTCTTCCAGTTTCAGGTCCTCCGCTCCAGATGTGATGGAATGATCGCAGCATATTCGCCGGTTCTGAAAGCACAGACTGACGTGATATTAAGCTGTCAAATAAACGCAGATTTGCTCATTACATGGTTTTGGTATTCTTGTAAAGATTACAAATTATTGGTATGATCGCCCGTAACGGCTGAAGTACGGAAAATAAATAAAAAGGCCTGCTTGGCACGGGTTTCGAACATGAGCTAAATAGAGGTGCTATGTGTGACAACAGTTATGTATACACTGAGCTATTTGACTTCACTACTTCACAGATTTTTGGAATGAAGTCAGAATTTTATTCTCGGCATTACGTTACGCAGCTGGCCGAATCGAGGAAATGTGTCAGTGTTAACTTGTGACCCATGTTTACCTATTATGAAAATTAACCATGGTTATTACAGTAAAAGTATATTACATTTTATGGTTTATGAAGTTAAATTATATTTCATGGAGTCTTAGACAAAGGTAAATTTGTGGATACTATGGTTTAATTACAAACTTTATCGCATGTTACTTGTATCAGGTTATTCATTGACATATTTTCAGACATTATTAAAGACTACATTCTTTGCTGCCTTTTCCCGAGAGCGGGGTTTATCTGGGTTTGTGATGTCACGAACCCGGGAAGTAACTCTTGTAGTCCCTACCAGCCGTTTTTGTAGGCATTAAACAGCCAGAATTCTGACGATATCTCCATTTGCATTGAACTTTCAGCTTCGTAACTTTGCAGATATTGTTTATGCTCAAACAGCAACATTACACACTAACTAACGTTAAAAAAGTGAAATCGCAATCAACCACCACTTTAAGAAAACGAAAGCGTTTTTTGACCTTGCATGCATGTAAACCTATTGTAGGAGACTCCCAAAACAATACTAGTAAACTTAAAAATGGCATAATAGGGGCACTTTATTATGATCATGAGATCTGTGAGCTCATGGAGAGCATAAACTCTACCTCATTCTGCAGATGAAGGAACGTCTAGAGCCCATACACATTCTCATAGAGGACTGCTGTCCTTCCTTCTTCACTGTCCCAGTCTTCAGGTCCAGAATACGTCCTGGACATAAACACACACACACACACACACACACACACACACACACACACACACACACACACACACACACACACACACACAGACAAGAGGAAAGAGGTTAACTTATGAATTGGCATTTTAAATTAATTTGTGGTAGAATTACAAATGTAACATCATCATACATGACAATGTAAAGTGCTTTGAGTGCCTAGAAAAGCGCTATATAAATGTAATGAATTATTATTATTATTATTATTATTATTCTCATACAGAAAACACAAAGTTTGGAATAATTAAGACTTTTTAATGTTTTGAAAGAAGTCTCTTCTGCTCACCAATAGTGCATTTACTTGATCAAAATACAGTAAAAACAATAATACTGTCCAATATTATTTCAATTTAAAATAATTGTTTTCTATTTTAATGTTTTAAAATGTAATTTATTCCTGTGATGCAAAGCTGAATTTTTAGTAGTCATTTTTCCAATCTTAAATGTTGCATGATCCTTCAAAAATCATTATATTAAATCAATATATTAATTATTATAAAACAGTTAGTTCAATTCCTCGATTCTGATTGGTCAGCAGCTGTGTTTTATTCACGACACAGCACGGCTATGACGGCTTCACCCAACGGTTCTGTGCATCACTGAGCAACACCCTTAGCAACATAAGTAATCAATGATATAGCATCAAAACCGTTTCATTTATTATGTATTTCGGCAAAATTAACTGTTTGTTTGTTATTTAATGACGTATGAGTGTCCCCTGCTGGCGTTATATTGCATCTTTCATCTTTAATTTTGAGACCCCACCCTTCCCCCGTCTAATAAACGCTTCTTATGCGGAGATATGTTGATGTGTGCGCGCGTCTGTGTGGAAGCCTACAGTTTCCGAAGTGAGGAAGGAATATTACTGTATTTCGTTTTCTGTTTCAGGTATGATTCTGTATGTCCATCAGTTTACACTGTAATGACGCTTGCAAACAGACCGAACCGGTCTGTTTTCTAACTAAATACGGAAAACAGACGTTTTCTCATGCTGAGAGATAAGCAGATGTATGTGTGTGAGAAAATATCATATATGGTGTTAAAATATTCTCTTTCCGATTCTCTGATTTGATTTAAGCTCCATTAGATGAGGCATGTTCAGAACATTCTCTTGCCGTTCACTGTTGCTGTCAGGAACTATTTTTTAGCGGAAGGACAGCATTTAACGAACTTGCTTCAAAAAAGTAACATTTCAATACATACATTTTTGGTTTTAATATTTTTTATTGTGTGGTAACAGTTTTATAAAAGCAACAAGGTACTCGAGGTGGTACTGTATCAATGCCCTTTGGCCGTAATTTTTTCACGATACAGCACGGCCTCTTGCTTAATTATTATTAGGCCTACATTTTTTTCCTATCTAAAAAAGATCTATCTAAAAATATATATATCTTAAAAAGATAAAAATACATATTTTTAAACAAATGTGTAAAATATTTGTTTAAAAAAAAAAAAACATTACAATTTCTAATAATAAGAAATACACTTCAGGAGTACTGAAATTAATTAATGACACCAGGGTGATGATAAAAACTCTGTCCATCACATTTTTAGTTTCACATGCATTTACTTTCATCCATTAAGGTGAATCATCATCTGCTGGGATGCATGACTATATTAAGTATCGAATATACCAATAAGAATCAAAATATTGCAACGACCTTTGGATGCACCTGCTATTACCGTATTGACCCGAATATAAGACGATGTTTTTTTCTTGGAAATACATCTGAAAAAACGCGGTCGTCTTATATTCAGGGTCTAGACTTTGACATGTCAATAATACACCCACAACAATAGGTGGTGCTAAATACGCATAAAACGAGTGTGCCATGAAATACACAATGTAATGCGTGTTGTAAAGATCGCGAGTAAAAACAAAAGAATAAGAAAAGCTTACAGCTGCATGAGTCGTGACTGTCACATTAGCCTGATGGGACCAAACTCCCTTTGTGATTTTAAAACGTAAGACAGTACCCAGATTTGAAGACTACGGTAAGATTGAACTTCTACTGTTAATAAGATTTTGGTAGGCTACTATTAGATGGATAGCCTAAATGACCTAATTCAGATGGGCTACCTGTTTTTTTTGTTTTTTTAATGGTATATCAAAAAGTGTATATTTTTTTAATGTGATTGTTGGTACATTTGACCAGTTTTTACCATACTTTCAAAACAAAAATTAAAATATGCAATATGAAGATAATTGAAGACAAAATGTGTTTTACTGAGAAAAAACAAGATTTGGTTTTTAAAAAGCCTTTTTCCAAAAGGTACATCTGGAAAAAGGGGGGTCGTCTTCTATTCGGGTCAATACGGTACCTCATATCACTTCAACATCACGTATCCACAGCAGCACCCTGTGCATCCATTTGAAATGACTAGATTGAAATGACTAGACATTCAATCCTAATAAATCCCATAACAAACAACTAACATGCCCACAAACACCTACAGAGGCACAGTAAATGTTATAACCATCTCGTCCACCGCTACAGCATCTGCTCGATTACAAGGCACAGAAGACTGGCTAAAATAATCAAATCAACCATTTTAACGTTGTTTTCCCCCATCCAGCTCAGCTAGAATAAGGGAGGAACACAATTAGAAGCAGCAAAAAAAAATTATTGGCTTAACAAAGCACCCACAACAATAGTCAAAGAGTGAGTTATACTGCTTGGAATGCTGATACCTATAGGACAAAAGCTCAGGATTATTGAAGCCTGAAGTTATTTCCATAAACAAATTAGCTGACATGCCTTTCAGCGGAGAAGCAGCGGTCTCTGAACTGATCCGGTGACAGCTGCTAAAGCCCCCAGGAGCAGATCTAATTGTCGAGAAGTCTTTCCACTCTGAAGGACAGACGCCAAGAACGTTGGAAGCATTTAAAAGCTATTAATACTCCTTCTCGAAGACGGATAACAACACGACCACTCAAGAGCATCAAGAGGGAGGACCTTGGTTGTTGTTGTTCAACAAACAATTGGGTGAAAAACCATATGGAGATGATAAACGTAGTCGGACTATAATTGTAAATCATCCAGACGGTGACCCACTGCCCTACCAAAAACGGATCTGTCGTGCTGTAATATCGGCCTTTCAACAAGGCAAAACCTAGCTGGAAATGGAAAATTATTTCAACCGCAAAAAGGTATTTCGAGGCCAATATAATAACAGTTTAGTGATGTCAAATTAGACTTCAACTGCAATCACCTCCAAAATGACTCTGACCTCTAGCCTCCCCGACGCGGAACTTTTTTGACTTTCTGACATCTTCCAGCAGTCAAAACGGCATTTTGTGTGTCTCTGAGATGATGTAGGATGACATGGCTTTTGTGATGAAGTGCCAACACTGAGTTTTGGCGCTGAATACGTCAAGAAATCTTGCGCCATGAATATAAGACAATCATATAGAGATCTAGAGGTGGGATGTCGTCAGATGGGTAAGTGGAACCAGATGCTACCAAAACGAGGGCAACAATAAACCAAAACAAACAACCCTTTGCAATAGGCAACAGATTTAATCTTTCAAATTCGATTGACCTCATGGTAAAGAGAGTTGTATGGTAACTCTCTTTAATCGCATATCAATCAGTCTTCTAGTAGTGCTAGGCATACATGCTTGATGGTTTGAGTTTTGGCGCTGAATACTTCAAGATAACAGAGGAATGTAAAGAAACATTGTACACCATGTATATAAGACAAGAGAGGTGGGACATAATGAGAGGTGGCATGTCATCAGATAGATACGTGAAACCTAGTTTTGTGTAGCCAAACCTTCAGAATGACAGCAGAAGGTCTTGACTCCATCGCAGCTTTCACTGGCCAAGGATCGCCCAGGCCATCTGACAGACAACCAACCAATCGCAGTTTGTTTTGTTGGGGCATGAAAATGTAAAGTCAATGTCCCTACAATAACAGACTGGCGTGCAACCAATAAATCATTCATTCAAGAAAATCATACCAGTTTCCTGCAACAGTGCAGAGTCTAGGTTGTGAACTTCTCAAACTTTCGAAAATCCAGTATTTAGTTGATACCAATAAACAATGGCTTTCTTTTTTCACAAGGGGGTTTAGGCGTCACAACAGCTTTGTTTCCTGGTGGACAGTTAAAGATGGCGACACACACATTTCCAAGAAATCCTGTAGAATTCAACCAATCAGATGACGACTTCTAAACTCCCAACGTGTTTCCCATTTCTGTGCCTTATGCATCAGACGTTCAGACAGCAGTCTGTGGGCATGATGTCTAAGTCTGAGACTAAGTGGAACCAGACACATCCAAGACGAGGACAACAATGAACCAAAACAAACAACCATTTGCAATAGGAAACAGAATTCAACTTTTGAATTCAATTGATCTCATGGTTTGAACTTGGAGAAGGACACAATAAAAGCCACTGACCAGTTTTACTTTACCTCTCTTTAATCGCGCCTCAACCAATCTCCGTGTTTCCTCTCGTATGAGTAAGTGCTAATCATATATCCATGATGGTTTGAGATTTGGCGTTGCATACTTCAAGATTATTAAGCAATGTAAAGAAACAGTTTGTGCCATATAAGACACCCACAAGATTTTTAGAGGTGGGATGTCAACAGATGGATAAGTGTAACCAGATGCTTCCAAGACGAGGGCCACAATAAACCAAAACAAACAACCACTTGCAATAGGCAACAGAACTCAACTTTGAATTCGATTGACCTCATGGTTTGAAGTTGGTGAAGGACACAATAAAAGCCATTGACCAGTTTAACGGTAACTCTCTTTAAATCGCACCTCAATCAATCTTCTTGTTTGCACTGATATGAGTAAGTGCTAGTCATGCACGCATGATGGTGTGCTGTTTTGAAGACCTGCGTGGGTTTGGATGACCGTTCCTCAGCCTCCTGCTTCCCAAAGCAGAGCTCAGCAGGTGGGGTTTGCTTTGGCCCACTTTCCCTGGATGCTTCCACATCGGGAGAACTTTGGTTG